GTGGATCAGCTGTACGAGCGCTTCGAGGAGTTGCTGCGGTTGAGACCGAAGCCCAAGAGCTTGAAAGCCGATGAGAACCGCAGCAGCAAAGACGACGAGCCCCGGGTGCTGACGAAGGAGACGCTGGGGTTGATCCCGGAGCTAAAGGTCAACCCATTGGCCGACCGGATAGTTGCGGTGTTCATCAGTTACGCCGAGTCCACGAACGCTATGACACGCAAAGAGTTTGTGTCGATTATGGCTAAGTTTAGGGGCACTTCGGGCGCCGCCGATGATGTGAGGGGTGAGAAGCGCGAGGAGAAGATGCGGTTCCTCTTCAAGATCTACGACACCAAAGGTGACGCCAATATAGACAGCGAGGAGTTGGAAGAAATTCTGAGCAAAATCTTACCGAAGACCGACAAAAAGAAGATCAGCCAAAACGCCGACAAAATGATCGATGAGATGGACTTCGACGGCGATAAGAAGATCTCGTTCGCCGACTTCGCCAAAACTTTCGAGGGCGTCGACATCGACACCCAATTCTCGCTACCGTTCCTCAGGCACCGAGACTTTTGATTCGCGCATAAACTCGTAGTTTAATTGTATTTTGATTTTTATGAAATGATTACCTTTTTTGTGAATGTATTTATTTGTATGTAATTCAGAGATTTAATTATTTGTAATATACTTTTACCGGTTATCTATTTAAACACTTTGTAATTTTTCATAACCTTTGGTTTACTTTAGTTCACTTCATAGCCTTTGGTTTGTAATAAAAAGTTTGATAAAAACTTAATTTCAATGAATTTTATTGATGCGATAAATGAATTGATAAGTCATACAAAATATAAAACATCTTTTGGCTCTAACTATATATTCAGTGATAATTCAATTCAATTCAAGTCTGAGTCCGACCAACAGGTTAGTGACTAACGAACCTTCGGCTCAATTCTTGCGGACTTTTCTCATTTGTTTCATCTGTTTCTTCGCGATTCGCTTCAATTTCTTTGGATTTTTAATCTGAAAAACAGATCAACAGAACGAAAATCACTTTCAAGTCAAATAACAAGCAATGAGTCGCTGTATTACCGGCTGAGTTATCTCAGCTTTGCGGGCGTTTTCTTGTTTCCGGCGCTTATTCTCTTCTCTTCGGACTCTTTTCGCCTAAAATTTCACACAAAACCAACAAATCATTAGTAAAACTCTACACAAAAATAACAATCAATTCAAACAAAACAGCGATTCATTAGTATTGAGTGCTTTTCGGTGTCATAAAACTAGTGGTTTGTCGACATAAACCTCAATCTCTTGCTGTTTGGCGTCTTTAATCTCCTGCTCATAGAGTTTGACAATCTTTTTGTCATTTTTAATCTGCATTTTCTTTTGCCACGAAGTCTTAGTCGACTTATCCATTACTAAACTCCTCTTAAACGGCCTGTCCGTGCGGTGGGAGAAACGAAAGGTTTAGGCGTTTTAATCATAAAAGTATACAAAAAACTTAATTGTAATTAAAACTAATGATAATTAATAGAAGTATAGAGGAGTCTAGTGTGACAACCGTTTCTCATATCTCTATTGAAAACCACAAAAATTGATTCAAAACTCGAGGATTGAATCAAAGAACTCAACCGCTTTAAGACAATTGTCTTATTAAACAAAACTACAGCACAAGTCGTATTCACACAACTCTTATGCCTTAAGACATTCAGCCGACAAACCACTTAAAAGTCAACCAAAAAACACTCAATACTTATGGACAGCCATTATCTCATAGAGAGACCACCGATGAGATCACAGCCTAAGACTTACGCGTTGCAGTGCATGAACAGGAGCTCAGGGGTCACATTAGCGCTCGACTCTAACCGGAACCTCTCCAACGATGTCACCGACGCCGGTATGGATAGTATCCATTTGGCCAAATGGGACAGTTTGGGAAAGTCCGACTGGTGCTCCCGCCACCAGACCAGTATGTTTTGCTCGTTACATGTGGTCAACTGCACCGATATATACTTATTCAACTCGTCCTGTTCCGAGTCCTGCTGGTCCTCCCACTCGTCGAAATCCGATTTAGACTTCTTGGGATCACTCGCAGCACCAGCGCCCGGCCCGTCCTCCTCAGCGATACGACTGTCGATGAGGGCGCGCACCTCGTTGTGCACCTCTTCCCGCTCCTCAGCGGATAACATCTTCAGGAACCGAAAGTTGGGCCACAAAAAGGCGGCGATCTTATGGAAGGGCTGGAGCTGAAAGTTCTGCTCCATTCCCGCTTTGATCACCTGTTTGAGGCCAATGGCCAGCGTGTCGTCGTCGGGAGTGGAGTTCAAGTGCTTCAGCAGTTTGTAGTACCAGAGGAGCACGTGATTGAGGGTCGGGTGCCGCGAGCACTGCCTCAACTCGACGGACGCCGCCTTAAAGGGCGCCAAAAAGTTGGCTAAAAACTTGACTAAATCCAAGTCGAGGGACGAGTTCTTGAGCTCGAATTTGTGCCGATTTTCGATCACATTCCTCATCGCCTCGTATTTGTTGACCCAATCGATGGCATAGGAGTCGACATCGAGTCTTAATTCGCCGCAAATTACGCGACAATTCTCGACGATCTCTGTGTAGGTGTCGTCGCCGAAGACGGCGCTCTCGATGACACCGTCGATGACGTGCGCCATGGATGTCAAACACATGGACACACCATCAAAGAGTCCGCCTCTGGATATGAACGTGAATTTCGCCAGTTTATTGTCTTCGTTGATACCGAAGTCATCTAAGGTATGGCTGATGAATGTGTTGATATCACTACCCGTGGCCGTAGCGGACAGTATGCTCTCGACTAGAGTCCAGTTAGAGTTGATATAGTAGGTGGAGATCACGCAGAGGTCGTCCTCCGAGTCGCAGACCAGAGCGCCGCCGATATTCTTCTGCAGAGCGGCGTTCAGATCCTCTTTGACCCGATTCTTGCACTGATTGTATTGGCCGGTCATCTGGGCGTACAGTTGCGACCTGTCCGGCAGGGCTACCGTCCCTTTGCCCACCGCTGTGCACAGTTTGATCAGCGACTGGACCATCGCCTTGAATGAGTCGCCGGTCATGGCGTCGATGGTTATGAGTTCGTTGTAACAGAACTGGAGGATCCGTTCCCTCAGCTCTGACTTGATGTTAGCGATGCGGTTGGTGTTGGCGATCACTTTGGGACCAGAGTTTGAGCCGTTGGTGTCCTGGTTTTTGATGAGGGAACCGGTCACCAGAGGCATGGCGTACGGACTCCGGCTTATCGTCAGTTTGGGCTCTGGTAGTAGTGGTAAGGGTTGGACACAGAGTTAGGTTAGAGTTGTCATTGAATTGTGATTAATAGCCATAAATGCAAACCTTTTTTCATTTTATTTATCGACACATTTGGTGTGATTTTCGGCGAATTCACGAAAGCCTCGGGAAATGTCTCGCGAAAGCAGTGGTGTCTTCGCATATGGGATGTGCCTTCAGGTGATGGACAGATAGTGAGACAATTGTCACGAGATAGACACTAGCGTTAGACATACCGGTGATCTGTCCGTGATATCTGGTCATGAATTGGCAGGCCTTGCACCGGACAATACCGGTGAACAGTTGGGTGTCGGCGAAGGCTATCTCCTCGAACAGCTGCCAGACATCACTACTGGAACCGCTGGTCCTCATGCGGGCGAAGCACTCGCCGGTCAAGAGTTTGGCGCGGATTTCATCGATTTCCGGGAAATTCCTAATCATATATGTGTTGCCAATCATATAATTGTATGCAATTTAACCGAAAACTTATTCATTTTGTTTGTTCACAAATACTCTGGGATTTTGAGGGGAAACCCTATTTTCCCAACGAGAAAGTGATCATTACTTGTGTCCGACAAATATAACACTAAAGTGTGTGCAAAAGTTTTTGTCATTTCAGAGACAAAACAGTCAATTAAACAAATTAACCATAAAACCAAAAATCAAATTAAAGTTAAAATGAGTGGAAAAAGTGGTCAAAAATTTTTGGCAATCAATGTCTAAGTGATAGAGATATGAGAAACGGCTTTTCAATGGACTCCTTATGTATGATAGCATTAGTTAGACATTAGTTTGCGATCGAGGGGACAGTTATGTCCACAACCGCTATAGTCATACCGTGCGAGCGTACGCTCCGACGTGATGGGACGGCCTACTTTGCGTTTGGTGTACATCTCCTGAGCCAAGTCCATGGTGTCCATCGGCGGACCCGTTGTTATGTCAATCAGTGACATCTCTCCAGACTTTTCCACTAATAGCCAAACAAATGAAAAAAGTTTTTAAACACATAATTATAAATCACAAACTTTTAACATTAAATTAAATATGAATTATCGCGGACAGTGGCCGGGTAGTCGGGCGGGTAGGGGTGGGGTTACACACAGGATATACATGTAATATACCGACAATTATCACATTTCGGGCACAAAAATAAACGGGAAAATAAACTTTTCATACAAACCTTAGTCGGCAAACAAATTAATAGCAAAATAAATGTCGAAAAGTGTTCACAAATAGCTTTCAATGGCTATAATAGTGGACACAAATGCGGGCTATGGTTGCGAACGCGTTGTCAATAACACAGTATATATCCGTAGAGAGAGTGCCAGTGAATGGCGAGTATATATCCGTTTTCCTACAGCACAGGGAGTGTGTGTGAGTGTGTGAGAGAGCACTGGTAGCTTTTTGCTATGCGAGAGCACTGGTAGGCGCCTACGCTATTTCCTATGATGGCATAAACCGTATGGCATGCGGTTATTGGCGAGTCTGTTGTCGGGTGTTTCCCATTTCCCTGACACTCGTACACTGTGTTTGTGTAGGAAACTAATACCTGGGCAGAGCACTGGTAGCTTTTCCAGCTCCCTTTCCCCTCGTGTTTACGATATATACCAGTGCACTGGTGTTTCCCCCTGCGCTGCATATTATGTCTCCATCCGATTAGTACGGGATTTGAAACGCGAAATCGCTGTCAATATCAGTGTATTAACCGGATATGAAAACTGCATTCAAAACCCA